CAACGAAGCTGGTTGCGGAGTGCCATCAAGCGAAGAGGAAAATGATGATGAGGTTGAAGAAGCCGATTTTCAGCATCAGAACACGGCTAGAAAGACGGCAACAAACGCGGCGGAAAAAGCAGAAGTGCCAGCAGGCGAATCCGGAACAAGAGATATAGACGACGCAGGACCACGCGAAGAAATATTGACGGCCCCCGCGGAGCCGGAGGATGTTCTTTTACAGGGTAAGCCGGAGCAGGAGGACACCAAGAACGGGGCGAAATCCTCGAAAAAAACGTTGCTTCCGCGCGAGGAAGGCGAAGAGGAAATAATTCCCGCGGACACCATGGACGCTGAAGTTGTGAAAGAAGATGAGCGACCAGCGGCGTTTGTGTCGAGTCCGAATCCGGTAGTTAATGATGCGGGCACTTCGGTGGAGAACGCAGTTGCAGGTGATACTGCTACTGCACTTATTCATCCGTGTATTCATTCTATGTATAAATTGAGCATTCCGTGTATTCATCCGTGTATTCATTAGTGTTGTTCATTCTATGTATGAATTGAGCATTTGGTTTTTGTCGTGAGCCACATGTTCTTGCGCAAGCGCATGGTTTCTTCTAGCTCTAGTCGGTAGAAAATCAATCGTACACATGGAAGTTTCTGCTGTTGCTTCACTCCGATGTCGATTTATGGTCATCCTCTCAGTTGTGTTGATGTTGAAGATGAAGATGTTTTTCGACTTCGCGGCAGGTTTGCAACTTTCGGTTGCCAAGGTGGTAAACTACAAATGCGCATCGGTTTGTCCTTGACTAGTTTCTCGTTTTTGTCTCAACAACACCATCAAATTCGGTGTCGTGCGTAGAAGTGAATGGCTCAGGACCACGACAAGGTGGAAAGGAGAAGAAGAGAAGAACGACAATGTGGAAGAAGAAGAGCAGGTGAGGATGTGGATAGACGTGAAGCGACCGGCAACGAAGCTGGTTACGGAGTGCCATCAAGCGAAGAGGATGAAAATGAAGAAGAAGCCGATTTTCAGCATCAGAACACGGCAACAAAGCTAGTGGAGAAAGCGAAACAAGCTGCAATGCCAGCAGACGAAGCCGGAAGAGATATAGACGACACAGGACCTCCTCCACCTCCCCCTCCGCGCGAAAAAATATTGACGACCCCCGCGGAGCATGTTCTTTCACAGGGTATCAAGCCGAGGCAGGAGGACACCAAGAACAGTTCGAAATCCTCGAAAGAAACGTTGCTTCCGCGCGAGGAAGACGAAGAGGAAATAATTCCGGCGGACAACATGGCCGTTGAAGTTGTGAAAGAAGATAAGCGACCAGCGGCGGATGTATCGAGTCCAAATCCGGTAGTTAATGATGCGGGTATTGCAGCGGAGAATGCAGGTGATACTGCTACTGCTACTGCACTTGTTCATCCGGGCGAAGCAGATCGGGAGCTGCTTTTGAAGCTGCTGCAGGTACTGTTTCTGTGTGGGTTTCATCTGCGTCTTCATGAATGTAGAGTGTTGGACCAGCAGAGCGAAAATTCAAATTTCAATTGGCATTACTTCGGTAGAAATCTTTTTACGCGGTGTCACTCTACCTATGACAGTTATTCTTGTTGCGAAAGCAACATGGCCATGGCTACCTCACCCATGAACGCACAGCAAAACCACGCCCAAAACAGGTTCACGAAGCCCGCGCGGACGGGTTTGAGCAGAGTTTGGGGGAAATTTTGAAGACGCTTCAGCAGTTGACAGTCGTGAAGAACGCCGCTGTTTCAACTGTTAGTGTTGGAGAAGTTTCGGATGCTAGTACATCCCCGATACGACTAGAACCATCAAGCGTGGAGGTGTTGAACCACGACAATCAGCCTCCTGTTCCTCCTGCTATGGGAGCCGCAGCTACGTTGGTAGAACCTTCCCACCACGATGGAACAATCGTTGCAGCGACGTCGGAGCACGTTAGTGCTAGTGATTTGGAAAAGCAAAAGACTACCCCCGGTGGAAATGCAGGAGCCCCAGAAGTTGCGCCGGTCGTGCAAGGAGACAAACAACGCTGTCTTCCCGAAAGCGTCGTCGTCGAGAACCCGGGTTCTTTTTTCTACCACGATTTAATCAAGACTGCCTTGTTGTTCTTCTGTCTCGGGATGGTCGCGGGGTTGCTACTCTTGTCGGAAACGCATTCGCGACTGGGCTGTCACACGGTTTGTGAGTGAGGGAGATATTTCGATTTGGAATGCTTCTTTTCTTCCAACGGAACGGGAATTTCAGAGTTCCTGCGGAAAGGGAGTTTCAGAAACCGCAACTATGTATGAAAACAACACGACTACAACGGCAAGAAAAACGGTATAAAAGCGACAGAAACTACTTGAAAGACAATAGATGTGCGGCACATGTTACGCCTCCAAAGAACAAATCAAAAAGAAAATGCAGAAACGACACTTCTTCGCGTCACACCTCACCTCGTGCGTTTCTCCTCAACGAAAAATCAAGAGAGCAGCTGGTGCGCATTTTTGTACAAGAACAAGAACCGGTCTCTTGCTGCTTCTTCTTGTCCTCGATTCTTTAGAGTTTACACGTGATGTTGAGAATGCACTCTGTCGGTTCCTACCAGGCAGCGAAAACCAACCGCGCCACATGGCGCGCCGAGCGGCGCCACATGCAGGCGGCCCTATATGCAGGCAAAAAAATTTTCGGGGCGCGCGCTGCGCGCGCGCGGATCGACTTCATCTGTAGGCACGAAGCAAAAATTTTTCGGGGCGCGCGCTGCGCGCGCGCAGCGAGGCACGTGTGACATGTAGGATATGTAGGACATGTAGGCACGTTGCAAAGCATCTGCATGCAACAACCTACATATGCTGCATGTGTGAACTCAAAATTTACTGCAGTGCCTACTTCTGTACTCGCCGGACCTGAGGGAGCGCGCATTCCCCCTCCCCCCCTCCTCCAGGGCGAGAGCCACACAACACGGGGCAAAAAAACTTCGGGCACGCCTCGTGTGCCCGCCGACTTGTCAAACCCCCCCCAAGCAGCACGGGGACCCCGGGGCCAATACATGGGGGGCCCGCAATCACCCCGATCATGCGACTCCCTGCGCGGAATGCGAAAAAAAAACAGCACGGGCGCCCGCCCTCTTGGTCCCGCCCGCCCCCACATGTTACCGCGCGCCGGGTTCGCAGCGCGCGCATAGTTAGATAGCACGCAAATGGCTTCGGCCTCGTTGCGTACGCCTCTGCGCCTACTGCCGACCAGCCAACTGGCTGCCCCATGCGAAGGCGCCACACGAAGAAGAGCCGCCGGGCGATCGTGCGGCGAGACCGCCGGGGGCCCCCTCCACCCTTGCGTCGGGGTACCAGCTCCCGTCGTCCGGAATTGGACCAACCTACCCCCCCCCCCTTTCGCCTTGGCGAAAGGGGGTCCAATTGTTGCACAGCCTCTTACGCGATTCGTACACGTGATGTTGAGAATGCACTCTGTCGGTTCATTCGGCGCTGTGTTCCTGCGTCCTCCTGATTGCCTACACGTACTAGTAGCCTCTGGTGGTTTATTACCAACATGTTGTCGGTTTGTAGACGTAATAAACGTATTGTTCGGTTGTGCAGCTTAGGCTTCGTCTTACCTAATCGGTTTGCGTTGGTGGTTGGTGTGAGCACATCCGCATCTTCGGTTCGTCAAGTGCGTTGTACGTGCGAACTCATTGTTTCGAAATACGTAGAAGTGCATTTCTGTTTTATTTGTCCGTACCTTCTTCTGCTTTGAATTATATTGAACTGCGTTTTCGAAAGTCAAAGTCGTGAAAGACATATGCGAATAAAGGCAACTTCTCTACTCCACCCTTCCCAGGCTGCATTATCGTTGTGTGCTTTAAACGTATGTGAAGTTGTTGCTTGTCCCTCCCCGGCGAGCAAGTAAGGTGCGAACACTGTGACTGAGAATACATTTTCCCCCCATTATTTTTGTATGAATACCGAGTAGCATAGAATCAACGACCCCTCGTCCCCGATTCCAGAAGACAAATTTGACGAAGTAGTCATATGTATGCATTATGATTCAAAAACAAAGAAAAATACAAAGTTATCAGCTTTCCATAGAAACCAAATAAACTATCAGCTTTCCTAACGAGCACGCAGTGTTAACGGCACTCAGTGACGAAGCGAATCGGCGCAAGAACACGCAGAACACGATAATTCACCATGCCGCTACGGACAAAGATGAAGAACAAAAACTCGTCCGCCTTCCTGCTGGTGGCACTGAACATGCGGGATCGGGACCGAATTTTCGTGCAGTCGGTGAAAATTGTTTCTTCCAAAAGTGCTGGCACTAGTGCAACAACCGCCGATGCTGATTTGCCGTCCGGGACCGGCGAGTCGAAGCAAAACAAAGATTCTAGTGTGGATCCAACTGCACCTGGGACCGCGTTCCTCTTTTTCCCCACCAGTTCCCTCTGGCCGCACGAGTTCTTGAGCAGCTGGTTTTCTTCTGGCGAGCACGCTGTTCAAGCGCGCGACCAGAATCTGCTTCACGAGGGGCCTGGCAGCAGTGCCAGCAGCAGCAGCAGCAGTACGTTTTTGGAAACGAAGCAAAAGCAAATCAAGTACGGGAATCTCCGCGGCTCCAGGAACAGGGCTCTTGGGCGGGGAGTAACTGCAACTGGGACGGAGCTCGTGGTTGCTGGCACTAGCTACTTCGCCCGCCGCAATATGGAAGTGAAAACTTCTAGAGATTTTAACCATCAACATCACAAGCATAACCCGGCTGCACTTGTTCTACTTTATTGCTCTTGCTATATACGAGAACTATTTCCATTCCAACAAGCGAAAAAGGAAAGCAAATAGGATGCAGAGCCAGTAAATCCACGTTGCTTCATCTGCCGTGGATCGTGCGGAAAGAGCAAGCACACAACGAGCAAACGCACAATTTTTTTATTTTGCACCGGGCTTGGCTGTGTTTGTAATTGTATTTCGATTTTTGGTCTCTAATCGACGACGCCTGTCTGTTCCAAGCATATCGAGCAATTCTCAGCGCAACAAGCATGCTTCGCTTGTCATGCAGAACAAGGTCTGAAAAATAGAGAGCGCAGTTGCAAATTGCAGCAATGGGATATGATTGTGATGTGGTCTGTTACTTTTTCCTTTGGATGACTAGCCGTAGCCGCCGACGGACGAGGACCAGTTGACGCAGATGTTGAAGAAGGAAGCGACTTTGTTATCAAGTGTGACTGCTCCAGCTCCCCATTTTAAAAAATTAAACCATGATGGAAATGGAATGATGAAAATAGGAACAACACACTGCCTGTTGTTCCTATTGGCACAGGAAATCGCTGTGCTCCGATCTCGCATTCTTAGATTTTAGGGATTACATGAATTCCTTCGTAAAAATCCAACCTGCCAATCGTGACGACAATGTTGGGCGGTGAGCTGTTGCGACTGCTGTGCGGCATTGCAAAAGAACGAGGAAGTGCTAAAAAAGCAATGTTAAGTATTCATTGTTTGACTTTCTGATACATGATAAATCAGAAGGATGAGGAAAATGAAGAAAAAACGGGGACGAGCACGACTTGTGACATATTTCATACCCGTTTCCCCTGCTGCAGCCCTTTCGGTTTCGAGTGCGCTATCTTTTCTGGGACTTCACCTTCAGGCCCAAGATACTTCGTGGCGGACGTGCTTCGGACTTTTGTCCAGTCAATCGGAAGCTGCAGAAAAAGACAAATCGAAACCTAGTACGACCGACAGTGGTTCTCCTACTCTCCTGGGGGGCACCAGCACTTACGAACAAAAACTTCCTACTCGATGGCCACTAGAAAAAAGCGAAATTGTTTGGGCCACTTACACATTGCCTAACGGCCGCGGTGTCCTTGGCGACTTTTACGGCATAATTCCAGGGCTTCCGGCTCACGGCCTCAACCAGCCTACAGCCGCGACGAAAAAAAAAGTACGCTGGATACGGCCGTTACAGCATCCCCACGGGCCAGAAAGCGAGCAGCAGGACCCTGATGTCAAGGTCGACCCGGACGCCACAAATTACAAAAATTATCTGTGTGGAGATGCAATTTGGAGGCAACAGCCCAACGTTGTCGACGTTGAAAGCGATTTGCCGGAGATCCCATTGTCTTCAGTAAAGACTGTACTTCCCCATGCAAAGACACGGGTCAAACTTAAGGGAGAAGAAAGCCGCTCCGGAGACTACAAGCCATTTCAGTTTAGGGACCCGAAGCCGGCACACAAAGATCGAGGTTCGTGTTTCGAAGTAGGAGATCCAGTTTGGGCGAAAGTTACCTGGACCGGCCCGATTGGGAAAGGCCCCTCTGGTGAAGTCATCAACAAAAAGCTCATTTTGGGCTACTTTCCTGCGTACATTTCCCTAATCGAAGACAAGGACGAGCACGACAATTACCTCCCCTTTCCCAGTCAAAAGGTGCGTGTTGGGTGGTATCGGCCACCTGCGGATCAGCAACAGAAAAAGGAATTGGCTTGGGTCCAAGGCGTACTTCCAGAGTTCGGTTCATGGGATGACTGGATGTGCCTCTACAGCTATGCCCATGGAGAATCTTTTGGCACCACCCCTTTTGACATTGAGGGGAAAACCGACGCGGTTCCGTGGAGTGATTTGCGGTGGCCGTCTGAGCACCGCCCCAAAAGTCGTGAGCAGTGGCGCGAGACGGTGGCGTTTGTCGAAAACAGAGAGGAATATCGAATGGGACTCGCGAAGTATTTTGATGGGCTGAAGGACCTGAGTCCTGCTGATGCCCGTGAAAAGTACGGCGTCCAGAAAATTGGCACGGGTCACGAGCTTAAACCAGCTGACAAAGTATGGCCTCCGAGAAAGACACTTGTGAAAGGTCAGTGCACTGACATTCCAGATCAAGTGTATTAAATACACTCCAAAACCAAAACCACGAGATGCCTATTTTGCCTTCTAGCTTTATTTGTTTTATTAGTTCGCTCTTTATTTTTTTGCGCTCGATGACCATCGCTATGGGCTTCAGGCGCTAGCCTAAACCGCCGGAACTGTAGTTTTTTTTGTATTGCAAGCTTCAAATTGCAACCTCGAAATGCAGCCCCATTTATTTCGCCGAGCGTGCAAAGACAACCGAGAGAAACAGTTCTTTCTTCCGGCAAGTACCGGCGAGAACCCCGCTTCTTTTTCGTACCACGATTAAATCAAGACTGCCTTGCTGTTTTTCTGTCTGGGGGTGGCTGCGGGTGTATTATTGTTATTGGACGAATCGCATTCGCGGTTAGGCCCTCTCTTCCTCCGGAGCAGGAGCTTGAGAAACCGCAAGAAACCGCAACTATGTATGAAAACAACACGACTACCTAGAGCAAGAAAAAGAAAAACTGTACAAAGCGACAGAAACCTTACAGAAGATAGATGTGCGACACTCATGATTTTGAAATTACACGAAATAAATCAACAAGCAAAGAGAAATGACACTTTTTCTATTCGCTTCTCCTCTCGTGGTCTTTTTCTCAGCGAACGACTAAGAGAGCAGCTAATTCGCATTGTACAACTTGTCTGCTTTTTCTTCTCCTCGGTTCTTTGCAAGCGCTATTCGTACAACTACAACACGTGATGTCCTTGAGGATGTACTTTGTCGGTTCATTCCGCGCTATTTGCCTGCGTCCTCCTGATTGCCGACATGTAGCCTCTGGTTTGCTAAAATGTTGTCGGTTCCTCGTAGACGTAACCCTGCTTCGGTTTTGCAGCATAGAAGGCTTCGCTTGACTTATTCGGTTTGCGTTGGAGGTTGTTGTTTGCATATCCACATCTTCGGTTCGTCAAGTGCGTTGTACGTACAAACTTGCTGTTTCGAAATGCGTAGAAATGCATTTCAGTTCTTGTCTCTACCTTCACTTGCGCTTGCGAAAGTGAAAGACAAATCACATGAACAGGAGCGTTAGCGTTGTGTGTACTTTACAGTAAGTAGTAGTTTTAATTGCTTGTCCATCCCCGGCGAGCAGGAGCAAGTGTAAGTGAGGTGCGAACATTTGTACTTGAGACTGAAAACTAGACTTTTTCTTTTGCACTTTTTCCTTCCCCATTACTTTTGATATCAAACGCCATAGAATCAACGATGACCCCTTCCCGCAAATTTGACGAATTTTTCATGTATTACCTCATTGTAAAACGAATCCGAAACTTCGGCCTCTCATTCGCTCACGGTATGACTCAACCAAAACTATCAGCAGTAGCATGCAGTGTACCAAACTGAAACGGAGCAAGAAATTGACTTTCATAAAAGTACGGAAACAACGGGAGTAGAGTTCGCCAACAACAAAACGCACCAGAACACGACTCACGACCATGCCGCCGCGGACAAAGTCAAAGATGAACAACAAAAAGACCCCCTCCGCCTTCCTGCTGGTGGCGCTCAACATGCAGGATCGAGACCGAATTTTCGTGCAGTCGGTAAAAATTGTTTCTTCCGAAAGCAGTACTAGTAAAGCGACGACAACCGCCGATCATGAAGATGTCCCCTCCCGATGGTCCGGCGAAAGTGCGAAGCAAAACCAAGTAGATCATTCTAGTGCCGATCCAACTTCTGCACCCGGAGGTACTACCGCGTTTCTGTTTTTCCCGACCAGTTCCCTGTGGCCGCACGAGTTCTTGAGCAGCTGGCTTTCATCATCGTCTGGCAGAGATCACGGTCAACAAGCGAGCGAGCAGAAAAATCTTGACGGGTCCTCGACGAAGTCCTCGGGCACCAGCGGTGCCAGCACCAGTACGTTGTTGGAAACGAAGCAAAACCAAAAGCAAATCAAGTACGGGAACCTCCGGGGGGTCAGGAACAAGGTTCTTGGGGGACGGGCCACGACTTCTGCTGGGACGGAGCTGCGCGTGGTGGGCAGTGCTAGAGGTACTGGGAAGAACCAAAAAAACTTCGGCTGTTCGTCGTCCGGCGGAGGGGACGAATACGAAAGCTGTGCAAAAGCGGAAGGAGGAAAAATTGGCCTCGAAGAAGAACTTTCCAGCCGCGATTTGGTCGTGTATGATGCAGCTGCAACTCCTGGAACAACAACCTCTGCCGTGCCTGCGGGAATATGGAAATAAAAACTTGAACTTTCATCACGACCATAAATCAATGGCAACATTTTTTCATCATCGTCATGTTTTTTCAGTATTCGTGGGACGGACGTCTTGTAGCTCTTCCGCACATTAAACACGTTTATCGCTTGCTATGCATGAGCATGACGTCTTGTTATGCATGGACTTGATATGGGAATACTAGGTTGTAGTTGTACGAGGTTGTGATGTAGTGGTTTCTTTTCCCTTGGACAACCCGGCGCCGAAGAACGAGCAGGAGCAGTTGCAGGCATCCAACAAGGAAGCGACTTTGCTATCAAGCGTGACGACTTCGACTCTTTCTTTCACAATAAATCCATGTATAGGTGGAAAAGACAGAGAGGTCATGCAGGATTAGAAGTTAATGTGAGGTAGAATTTCGGCGCAGCATTCACTGCCGTGTTTCCATCTCGCACTTTTTACGAATACCATTACTATTTAGGGCGAATACAAGTTCTGTATATGATGAAGATGATTACAAAGCTCCTACCGCGACTGCAGCAACGTTTTTCATGCACGGCATTGGAGAAGAGCTACTCGCAAGAACAGCAGTGGTACCGATAGATTTTCTGACCCGTCTAAGGATTGCATGAGAGTCGTAAGCGACGGAGAGCAGGAGTTGTAGCGTGTTATATCCGCCTCCGCTGCTCTCTCGAGTGCGTTGTCCTTTTTGGGGTTTCGGCAGGCGGCTGACGAAGAGGGAAACGGGGCAGGGTGCATCGAACGGATTTCAGATATGTTGTCGGGAAGAAAACAGGTTGTAGATAAAAAGGGGCACCCAATTTTTTGGGCACCCTATTGGGATCCCAATCATGGCGCATTCAAGGATTGTTATGTCGCCACGAAGAAGCCGGACGGAGGTGTTCATTTTTTGGAAGAAATCGATGAAAGTGACCTCAAAGACGTTGCAGTGTTCCTGAAGTACGACCATCGTGCCGAGGTCGACGAGGCAAGACTTCCCTGGCCTGTTACCCTCTTCCCTACTCCAATTCAAACCGAACTACGAGTAGTTACAGACGGAAGCGACCCGGCTTTGTGGGTGGCCGCTCGCGCGCGCGGGGTTGGCGTGGACACGCTGAAGAAAGTTATGGCAGGAGGCAAGGCAGACCCACAGACGGGAAGGAAAGAGTGTGTGGAAGACGCGAACAAAAGACCTGAACCGGAGTCGACCCAGCTACCTGTATCGCTGCAGCAGTCAGTGGACGTCTGGGCCCCTTTTTGCCTGGTGCCGTCGGGGCAAAATCATGAAGTCACGCTCTACTTTCGGGGTAGAATTGTAGCCTACACGCCTTCTGGAACTGAACAAAAAGAACCAGAAACGAAGAAGATTCTGACCCCATCCGAAGATGCCTCTGTTGTCATTCAATGGTCACGAGCTCCTCAGACCGGAACTGGTGTCAGGAGGGATGACGATGAAGAGTATCTATTCGAGTCGACCGGCCTTGACGAAACGGTAGAAGACCGGAAGGATCTCAGGTACAAGGCATTGAAGCTTATTGCAGAGACGCCCGAGCGTCCAAAGGAAGTCACAGACGGTTGCGTATTGAGTTAATACTGTGGACTAGAGATGATTGAATAGTTGACCACAGTGCGGCGCTGCAATATTAAGCTACGATTTCCTATTCCTATGTATTAAATTGAGAATCGCAAACAACATCAAACGGGAGATAGCTGCTCCTTCTAAGTAATTTTTCCACGACCGCGCCTGCACGTTCTAACCAGGGCGTAAATTTTTGTTTCGTTTTCTTCGCTTCATTCCAAAAAGACAGGCACAGCAACACTCAAATATTGCAGTTCGACCGAAACAAAAACATGAAAAGCACAAAACTTAGACGAGAATCACAAGGGAGCTAGTCCTCAAGTCCACGCCAGCGATATTAATTCGCCAAGAGAAGGGCGAGCAAATATTCTGGCGTTCTTGTTCATCTTTAGTGGACGTCTACTAGAATGCGTCACTATTCTTGATGGCTGCGCAACTATTTCTTCGATGCGACCGAGGAGCGAGCGGCTCGCTGCATCTTCTACAAGTAGTATTAGCGGTTCATCTTGTGCCCGACTGCTTGACGAAGTAGAGGACGACCTGTAGTCTCAGTTCTTCTCCGAGGAAGTAGCAAACTGTTTTAGATTTTCGTCGTGTAAATGCGATCGCCGAATAGTCCGGAGTTAGAAGTCGAACATGACAAATTCTGTGTAACGCTTGTAGTTCCGCCGGGGCGGTTGCGTGACAAACAATCCTGATGCTCTTCCTGGAACACGCATTCCCTTTCGAGGATTCGGTTCCGTACTCCGTTGTGGCCGCTTTTTGTGGAAGTAGTGACACACCTCCTCATCAACTGTCGGTTCGGTGTCCATAAAGCTTGTTGTCGGTTCGTTCTGATTTGGCCGCGTGGAGAAGTCTGTCGTGTGTCTTTGCTGCATCTATTCAAGCTGGACGGTTGAGCTCGGTGTCGTATGTCTCTGATTTCCTTCTCTGCGTTAACGTTTGCTCGTTTTGAGGAGATATTTTTCGGTCGTGTGCTTTCCGATCTTAACTTCCAGAACCACGAGGTTTCGATATTAGTAGATGAACAAAGTGGACGTTGTCATTGAGAACATCAAGATAGAATCTTGCTGCGTTGTGTGGTGGTCGTGGCTCTCATCGTTGCATGATCTCTTTATTTGCGGCGTAGTGCAACTTAAACTCATTACTCTTTGTAGTTGAGCACGGTCTTCAGCAGAGTTGGAAGGAAAAATTCGCGGCGTCTGACACAAATCCCCACAGCGCAGCTCCCCCCTTCCGTACTTCCAGAAAAACTTTACGAGAAGCTTCTTGTTTAGCCCTCCCCGGCGGCGAACAAGTAAGCGGAGACAAGAATTTATACGAAGAACAACATACTTTATTTGGCTTTTTTCCTTCTTCCCTTGTTGTACTGCCGAGTTGGGGAAACACCTCCCCATCTACATCCAAATACTATCGACTAAAAAGCTACAAACTCGTACGTTTGTCGAGCTGCGAAAATTCGTCCGCGTATGAGATTCGGCTTCGGATGCGTGCTTGTAGTTTGACTTCGAAATAAGAAACCAATATTCTCTGATGGAATTGTTGACAGGAGAAAAAAAAGGAAGTAGTAGAGGCAGGAATTTATAAACAGACGAAAACATCACAATCAACTGCAGAAGACTTCTTCCGAACTGGGCCCGAAGTGCACGAACCGAAGAGACGAGCTGCTGCCGGAAAACAGAACATAGAACAGCATGGCGATCGTCCCGGTGCCGAAAAGGGTGAAGGTCAAAAAAAATTGCACCAAGAATCCGTTTGCACTGCTGCTACTGCAACTGCTGCTGCCAACGCTGACCCTTAACTTGCTCCGCGACTGGATATCTTGTCCGATCATACCGACTTTCGTGGAAGCGGTCAAGGTTTTTTCCAGAGGAACGTCGAGTACAACAACAGCTTCAACAGCGCCCGCAGTCGAAGAAGAGGATGGTCGTGAACACCAGCACCATGATGGTAACCTGTGTAAAAACGTCCCCACCTCCCCAAAGTCAAGATGATGGGGTCGTTGCTACGCAAAGCATAAGCAACAAGCTGTGGCTGTTGCGCATGACAAACTTGGATTTTCAGCAGCGTAAATGCGGTTAGTTAGCGCTACTAGTGTAGTAGAAGCATGACACATCAATTTTTAACTCATCCTGGTGGATTTATAGGATCAGAAGAAAAGAAAACAAGTGCAAAAACGAAGATGCTTCTAAAAATGGGGCTGCGCATATAATTGAAGAAACGTCCTGGGCGTGCCAATACGCGTGACAAATCTGCTGGGGTGTCGGGGACGCTTTTACACAGGATACGAGGAAACTTCCAGGAGCACGAGGACAGTCCCCCTTCCGTCAGCAACAGTACTACCCCTTTTTTGATCTTCTGGCCCAAGCGATTCTTGGGCAGCACCAGTTGGTGGCGTTTTGGCGGCGGTGAATACGAAACGAAACGAAATTTTTACAACAAACGCCAATCGAGCGGCACGAGTAGTCGTGCGAGCACTCTTCAGCTGGTGGAGACTAAACAAAATCAGAAGAAAATCAAGTATGGGAATCTCCGCGGCTCGAGGCCGAGGAACCACGGGACACCAGATGAACCGACGGGGGGTGCAGCAGGGGCTGGCAGGTTGACGACCCCTGAAGAAGTTCAAGAACATCTGGTTGGTCTTAGTAGTCCTGCGGCTGTTGATGTGGCGAGGAAGTCTTCGGGTAGTCCTAGTCCTGGTCTCGGCGCGAAAGATGAGGACGAAGTTGTCACAAGAACCCACCAGCACGGCTGTTTGGCTGGCGAAGATGAAAACTGTCCTCGAAACTACGGGGGAGAACTGGTTCGCGATGGAGCAGAAGAAGAACAGGTTGGCCGGAATGTCGTTGCGCAGGATGTTCCTGGTGGTGCCGTGATGTCCACCGCAGAGATGGTGGAGACAACTTTCACGGAGCGGAGAGTCGTGCGGAGAGTAGCGATGAAGGACGGGGGGCAACTACAACAAAGTGGCACGACAAATGATCAAATGGAGCTAACTGAGCGTGATATTCTGCCGTACCTGTGCCCATCCTCCATGTATACTGACGAGGAAGATCATGGTCACACTTTGCGGCTTCAGGATCATGCGAGTCTCATTGGCGTGTATCCGCTCCGTGACAACAATGCGATGATAAGGCAAGTTGTGGGAAGCCGTTTATTTCCCGTGAATTTCTGCGTCAAATGTATGCAAAGAAATACAAATGCTGCGCGTGAAGAGCAACGTCGAGTCTTCTACCTAACAAAAAGGGACATGGAGAACAGAGCGCTGTAGATTGATCATGCACCGCCTTGTCTTTATTTGATGAGTTGTGAACAAAAGTACAGCTACGGATGATGTCAGGTCGTACTATGTCGAAGAGATTACCAGCTGGACTTTTTTTGGAAGATTGAAAGGACGCTTTGATCTAGAAGCATTTGTATCTCGTGCGCATAAGCATGACGAAAAAAGCCGATGAATCTTTTGCCGATTCCGTTTGGCTAGATGCGATCAAGGAGGTCCGCAAAAAGACTACGAAAGCAGGATTGAACAACCACGTAGAGGAGCATGAAGAAGAGCCCAGCCGCTGCGATGTTTGACGAAGCAGAGCAAAAACATTCAAACGGGGACACCGCAAGAAGTGAAGATACGCAAAATGATGAGACTCAAAAAGAAACAAAGGCTGACCAGAAACTACAAATGGACCAAGATGACACGGGGGCAAAGGGTATGGACGTTGCAAGTGGGACGGACACCGAAGACGGCGACCAGGTCGAAAGAACACTCAAGGTCAAGATTGGTCTTGTTCCGAGCGGAATAAATGCAAATGTTGAACCCCCGCTGACTGGTACAACTGGGCAGAATGCGAAAGCACAACAAGGCGGAGAGCAGCTGCGCTTTGCTTCCTTGGAAACACGTCAGAGAGCTCATTTCTTGGCAACATCGGGGGCGGGTCCACGACTGTTTCTTCCGAGCGTGCATGTATCTGTGCAAAAGCAAGAGACTCTTGAAATAAAGAGCCGCGTTCTTGGTCGTCATCATCAATACATCAGATTTATTTTTTTACAACAAGTTGTAGATCAACAGGAAGATGAGCATCAACATCAAGCACAAGCAGAGGAAACCGAAGAAAAAAATCCGGGCGAAAGTGAAGTCGGACCGCCGTCCTCGACCAATGAAGGAACTTCCACTGGGCACGATGAAGGGGTAGATGCCAAAAAGAAAAAACAACTTGCGTCGGTTGCGATTGCCCTGTACGTGACTTTTGGAGAAAACCAAAACGGGCTCCAGTGCGACTTGGCCACCCTTGTTGACGAAGGAAGCGAGAGCTCTTCTTCGAATTCTGTGTCGTACTCGTTAAAGCGCCCTGGTGAGTTGTACAAAAATTTGATTCCTCATTTCTGTGGCAAAGATGAAGAAGACACCAAGGCGGGCAGCGACGAAGACTTGCGCGGCAACGACGTGAAAGCAGAAGATCAAGATGAACAATCGACGGTCAACGACAGCGAAAAGCCGAACGGCAAACGACCCGAGCGTCAGAACTCTAATTTTGACCCGCATGGCCGGATTGTGTTGCGCGGTGGCCAGAATCCTGTTGAATTGAGTACAATCGTCGAGGCACCGTTTGTGCAGGGAATCGAGTTCGACGATGTTATGACGGTACTGGTTGCAGCACGCTACTTCGTGTTCAAAGACAAAGCTGAGTATACTCGATTTGGTACAGCCTTGTTGAGAAAGGTGCTCAAGTCGCAAAGCCTGGCCCTGTTCATGTTCAACATGTTTTCTGATGGTGACTGTAGTGCACGCGGCCCGTCTACTAGCTCGCTCACACCGCGGGCGCCCGCAAGCGGGGGCTCAGAATCGTCAGTGTACGTCTTTGACAGTCGAGCACTTCCAGTGCAAGGATTTCCAGAGCGCTTCTGGTGGTCCTGGTCCTATTCCGTTCTTGCAATTCGGCCTTTTTACAATGTCGGACGATGCAGGTGGGTAGAGGGCCTTGACTATATCAAAGTGAAATACAACTACATGAGATGAGCTCGCGCAGCTCGTTTTTGTGCTTGATTTCTTGTCTGTTTTTGTTTAACGGGTCGCACGCGCGGTTCAAATGCTATACATTTGAAGAACCGCCGATGAAAACAAAGAGAGGAGGAGGAGTCAGATTGTGTTTGGTTTGAGGCATCATGCAATCAGTGCCCATGCGCATTCCAATTCCTGCGATAATTTTCGTAGCTGTAGGTAAATGAAAGAACAAATAATGCAAGATGTTGAAAACTACCTGTTGAGGCGACGGCCTTGGTTTTGTAGAAGCAGCAGCTACAAGATGTCAGCGTGTCCGATAAAAAGGCAGCGGCTTCTACTTCGCAGAGCGTTTCACTTTCATTTTCATAAGTTTTTCGAGCCTGTTTCGCCAAGAAGAAAATCCTTCTACAGTGGCTCTTCCTGCCGTCGAACTGCTGTCCTCGTCGTCCGGAATCGTGCCTTCAGATGCGACCAAGAACAACGATGAAGATTGGTTTCTAACGGAGCCGGGTTCTGGTGGAGGAGTGCCACCGACAGGGTTTCCAGCTCAAAATGAGAAGCGTCTCTGGGCACCTTTTTGCGTGGAGCAGGACGAAGCCCCCGTCGACGGTGTTGGGATTAGAAGTGAAGAGAAAAGACTCGTCACACTGTATTTTCTTGTCCGGATAGAGTCTGATGCAATTCCAGGCCTCGACGAGGAGGGGGATCATGGGGACACTTCTGCTTCACAACAAGAAGCATCCAAAACACCCAACCGGGACAGGAACGAGCAGACGGTCTCGATCAGCTGGAGGCGACCAAGATTTCGAACTCAGCTGGAGGCGACCAAGGAGCAAAACCCAGATGAACCGTTCGAACTCAGCGAGTTCCTAATGTGCACCGAGCTGAATGAGGCGGAATTGGACCAGAGGCAGGTCGAACGTAGGCTGGTGTTGGAAGCCGAGGAAAAGCCAGACACAGTGGTTGGTGGGTGTAAACGTGGTGCACCCGCGCCTGAAGGACAAGGATTCCATTCTCTAGCTGCAAACCAAGTGGCGAACTGTAGCCCGCGCGTCAGATCGTCAGATACTAGCACGAGTAGCGGCTCCGAGTCGCATTCGCCTACCAGCTCCACTGCCAAGCCCGCGCGTGGCCTACAACTGCCGGACGAGGCGCTTGCCGGGCGGTATGAAGGAGTTGTGCGTCACGAGAACGGTGGGAACACTCCGGGCGCTAGCGGCACTCCGACAGCCATGCTTAATGGAGCGACAGGCGCACAGCGGGACGCGAAAGAAATCCAATTTCAAGAGCAGTACGGCCCCGAAGCTCTCGGCGGGCTTAGAACGGTAAGACAACTGGAGACACCGTGGCAAGACCCCAGCCAGGTGAGTCGTCTGAAGGCGGGGAAAATAGATCCCGAAAGGGGCTAATTGTGTGCAATACCAGCACGGCGATAACAATGTTGGAAATGACAGCCGGGATCGGGAAGAAACAGGAGGGGCGGACGCGACAGTGCCGTGGAGTTGTGGCACTAACTTGTTCATCAGCACCACTGCGGAGTTTTTGGCGCGGCCGTGCGGAGGTTCCGGCGAGGTGATTGCTCTAGCCGGAAGGAAAAGTATTTAGTTCAAACAATTTAGCTTATGCGGTCAACAGGCTCGAAGATTCGTCTTCGGAAGTCAAATTCAGCACGCCTTCCATTAAGTCCGCTAGGGTCTGGTCTGCTAATCCAAGCGGTAGCATTCATTCCGTGCTTGGCCCCTAAACGAGTTTTCTTGCATCCTGGCGGCTAGCCGTCTAATAGATAGCCCCGATTACTAGGTGGCGCCGCTTGTGGTTGTCACGAGGTGGCTCGCACCTCCCTTGAGTGAGAGAGGGCTCGTTACCGGGTTGCAGTGCCTTTCGTCTGGCCTGGGCTCCCGGTGTTGCATTCACCGTTGGAGCTATAAGAATTAAGAGCATAAGCCTAGCTGCACTGGCAGCCGACCTTACGCGCACCATTAGAAGTGCGGCACCGGCCGGCCTTTGTGGTGTCCCACCATCAGAAGTGCGAACTACGAGGGCCGGGGCGTGCCACCTAAAGTTCTAAAAAGTCTCCTCGCCCAATGAGTGAGTGAGTCAATGGGTGAGAAAATGATATAAGAAAACTCGAAAAAAGGAAGACGAAGAGCGTTCAGATGGCCTTTCTGATCTGGGTGATGCTGTACCTCTTGAAGAAGCAAATGCAAAACATAAGAAGAAACAAAAAATATGAATAACGAAAAGCAGCCTCTACACTATTTAACTACCATTAGATTAAGTATTTTTTTTTTTTACAACCTGAACTTGAACGTCAACGTTTTGAACAACATACGGAAAGAGAAATCAAATGAATTACAGGAAGTGTTTGGGTGATTCAGATTATGTCGTTGTAACGGTATCAATACAAAAATTAATAATTACAGGCAGATGAAGGTGACATAGGAATGACTGCAAGAAGATACTAGAGAAGAAGTGCAGACCTAAGGGAAAAGACCGTGATCAAGAAAGATATTGGCAGAAACCTACGGCGCCACCATCTCCTTTAGAGAGGAAAGCGATCTCGTGCTGCTCTTTGAGTTCAATCTGACGTCAGCGATTCAGCTCGGTACCTTGCTCTCAGCTCTAGTGAAGGTCCAGGAGTTGTCTATTCTTATTCATTGCGCGACAGTCGTAAGCGTGAACCTGTCGCTGCCAGAATCTGATGTTGTCCGAGACCAGAATGATTTCTATCTTCTTTCTCTTTGTCTTTTGCGGTTCCGTCCGCTTGTATTCGGTGGAGGTCTGATCTTCAAATAAATTGGCTGTGAATGAATTTTACAGCATGGATCATACTCGTCTCTGTTTCTTCCTCTTCGTCCACCAGGGCCGGTAGATGTTCCAACTCTGTCTTTTAGTTCTGAAGTTGTGTTAATTTGTTTCCCTTCGGGATTTTTCACAGCAATATACCGCTTCGCTGATGTTCGGTCGTACGTCTGTAAATAGATGAACTTTCTATCTTGTTCGAATACGAAATTGAAACATTTCAGATGTCAACGAACTACATAACCCTACGAACACCGAGCCACAACATCAAGCACACCCAGTGGAGGTTAGACTTCTTCCGTTTGGACAGAAGGAAGACGCTCCTACCACGTTTTCCACGAGTCTTTTTGTTGTTGCAAGATTTGAGTACGGTACGTAGTGTTTATACTGAGATCACTCGCATCCTCATCGAGAAGAGGGGACGAGCTTGTTTTACATTGTTCGGCTTTAGTCTTTGAACACGAACGACGACGAGGTCTACCTCTTCCTCTTCCTCTCCTGCAATAACATTTACAAATACAGCCTGCTTCTAGCTTCTTATCTTCGCCACGTATTGAATAAAGTAGTTTTTTTCAAAAATTGAAATACAGATGACGGACACGGAGTGGGCCGAATGCACGCACTAGCCGTGTCGTGGTCCTTGTCGTCGTTTCTTTGCTCGTCTGCAGCCGAGTTGTATTTCTGCCGTGCTGGCAGCTGCACAGCGTACCAGCAAGGATCGCACAAGCGTTCATCCGGTGCGCAGAAGTAGAATCAGACCGCGCAATTACCTGCTTCGGGTCTTAATCGGGGGCGAAGGAGGTTATTCGAGATTGTTGCTTGCTTTTTGCACCACAGGCTGTCACGGTAGCGACCGTCCCAGTGGGAAGGACGAGAACGACGGGAACAGGTGGTTCAAGAGGCAGCTAATCAGGTGACGACAATCTGATCGTCTACACAGGGAGGAGCGCGTACGGATGGTACTCTCCACCTACCCGGCGCTCGTCATCTCTGCTTCAACAAAGCGCGGCATGGGCAGTTCTGTTTCTACTCGACCGGAAAGTCGTGCAAGACCATGCGGGACGTCCTGGCGACTTTGCTAGAACGTCCTCGTCCACAGTAGCGTCCAGCACATGTGAAGGTCTCGTCTTCACCCGCAGCACATCACCGCCCTGTTGGTCATTGTAGGTCTCAACAAGCTCCTCAATCCATCGGGGTCTACGAGTCACATAGGCCGGCTTTCATAAAAATCTGTGATCAACATGTGAGTACCAACTGGCTCCACTGGCAGTCCTCCTGCTCTCTCGCAGAATAAAGAAGAAATGAAGGATAATTTTCCTGCTGCTGGTAGGGGTCCAGGGCCTCCGTCTTCAGCCTCTTCTTCTTCCAGCTCCTCGTCGAGTCGTGGGCGGACCGGGGGGGAAAGGGAAGGCGTAGATGAAGCTGAAGGTGGGCACCAGCGCCAACCGCGCGCGGCTGCAGGAGCTGCAGGGGCACAAGACGAGCATGTAATGGCGGAAGATGATCCGCAAGCGAAACAGGGTGTTGGTGGTAGCGCTGGTGCTATCGGTAGTTCTACCAAAAGTAAAGACAGAGCAGCGAATGAGCTCGGGGGGAACAAGATGAAGAAGGAAAAGAGCGACAAGAAGACAAGAAGCCCACCAGCGCGACATCTCCCACCTGACCCTGGCGAAACTACGAAAACATTATCTACTTTAGGACGAACAGAAGTTGTACCACGAACCACAAGACGAAGAGCATCCGAAGAACAAAAAGAAGATCAAGATCCTGCAAGAAAAACGAGAACGTCATCGTCCGCCAACGAGGAAGATGACGAACAGCACCACGAAGATCCACCGCCGCGCCTCCGCTCCCTGCTGACCCAAGATAGTATGAAAAAGAAATCGCGGACTGGAGCAGGTCAACAGCAGAATATTACCGCCAATAAAACTACCACATCTAGTACTTCATCCAGTTCTTCTTCCAAACCGAAGAACGGAACTACCTCTAGCGGTCAACAAGCACCTCCTCGTCCACCGCTGACAACTCCAGAAACCACTTCTGTGCAGCAGCAGGAGCTGCAATCAGACCGAAATTTCTACGAGAATGATAAAGCACCTCCACACGGTAGAAGTACAATCGGTAGTAGTACTAGCGGGACGAGTTCGAGCAGAGAAGTGTCAAGACCAAGAGCTACAGGTGGTAGAACATCTTCTACTTCGTCCGGACGTCGTAGTAGAGGTGGGACGACGAAGGGGCAAGCCGACAATTACCACGACGACGAAGACGACAGCCCTCCTACGGACGACGAAGAGCGAGAAGATCTTGATGATGTTCACGAAAGACGTACAAATCGAAAAAGAAAAAAAGACCCCTCCTCATCTCCATCGTGGTTACGCCCAAAGCCTAAGCAGTTTCTAAAACTCACGAACTGCAACCGTCTGACTTTTCTCATCGCGTTTGTCGCTGTCTGTTTCCTCGTTTTTTTCCTCCTGCTTCTTTTCCTCTATGTTTGGAACAGAACCTCCGGAGCAGGTGAAGACGACGAGATGTTCTTGAGCCAGTTTTCGTCCTTGCTCTTCGGAGCAAGAGGAGCAGCTGGAGATACTCCTCGTGGGCGAGGGGACACAGTCGCGTATTTGGAAACTAAGGATAAAGAGGATGGTGTTCTTTTGGATGAAACTCCACTAGCCGGACGACCAGAGAACGACTACAAGGAGGAACAGACTTCGAGACCCCCAAGTACATCACAAGAAACAAGTACGTCTCAACATGTGCGGGAACATGATCTTCAAAGCGAAGTTGTGCTGGTGGATCAAGAAGATGTTGAACTACATAAAAGTAGTGGAGGTGGAGCAGCGACAGAAGTAGATAGTGTTCTTGAAAATAAGCTTAAGCCCGGGGCAGGAGCGGACTACACGGCGACGACGACGACGGCCCACATGCAGCAAGACCGCCGGACGAAGATGTTGTCGGGGGTAGGGGTAGAAGATGATGATGTAGTATCCAAAAAAAAAAAGACTCGTAGGTGTAACCTTTTTGGAGGAACAGCATTACAAATCTGTGTGGCATGAGACCAAGACCTGTCATGCGCGGATGGTACTGGAAAAGAACGCAGCTGAATGGAGATGGACCCTACAACATGGCATTCCCAGCATGACAGACGCAATCAGCTTGCACGTTTTAGCATCACAAACTTACACTAACAATGTTTTTTTTCTTGGATATGCAGTATCTTCCGCCGGGGCGACTCGAGTCAGTCCACCTGGTTCGATGTCGACGTCCGCTGCATCGAGTACAACTAGTGCAAATGATAGTAGTCAAAAGGGTGCTCTTGGTCTTGACACCCGGATCGAAGAGAATGAGAAAGTAGAAAAAAGCGCAGCCAGAAGCAGCACTGCTGGTGCTAGTCCAAGAATAATCGTCCCTTCATCTTCATCCGGTGGTGCAGTACCAGCACCAGTCCCAGTGATGAAGACGGATGTTGAAATAAATAACGCATCAAAAGTAGTAGGAGCAAAGGATACACCTGGCGCAAGCATTCTCGTCGAAGAGGAAGAGGTGACCAGTACGCAAGATGAACAGGAGGACGCTGCTGGTGCAGCCCCCGGCACTAGTATGTTTTTAGAGAAGACAGAGAATATTTTCCAGGACGGACTGTATCAGGTGCAACTATCAACTGTAAAAGTGTCTGGGTCTGGAAGAATCCAACTTGTCATGCTGATTTTGGATTCTAAAAAAATCTGTATTGCATGAGCAGCAAAGAGAGTCCAAGTTTTGCTACACGGAAAGAGCATTTGTCATGCCGTATAGGCATCAGGAAGCCCTCGCAAAATCTGTGATGCTAGGGCATGCATCACAGACATCAGGAGTCATGCAAAATGTGCATGACAAAACGAAAACTGGCAATCTTCCAGACGACCCAGACATTTTTACATTTGATTGCAACAGGCTGCGGGCAACGTGGGGAACGCGGTCAAGGACAAAGCGGGGGAAGTCGTGGAGGGTGCAAAAGATCGCCTGCAGGAGGCGCCGGAAGGTTTGCAGGGGGTGGTTAACAGCGCCACCAAACAGGCAGCGCATCTGGGAGAGCAGGTAACAGATACAGTCGTCAAGCCCGTGCTCGAAAATGCGAACAACGTGTGGAAGGCGGTTCAAAGGCCGGCGGCGAAGATGATTGAGAAGTGGAAGCGGGACCTGTCCAAAAAGATGGAAGAGGGCCTGCATGTGCTGCGGAGAACCCGGTTTCTATCAAGTGCAAAAATGTCTGGGTCTGGAAGGATGCAAGATCTGTCATGCTTCTCTGGCATGACTGAAAAGTTTGTGATGCGTGTCCAAGAAGAGACCCTGTCGCCTGTCATGTCAAACGCAGTTTGTCATGCGGAGAGCGCAACACGAAGCAGCGCAAATATTTCTCATGCCTGGCTGTGCATGACAGAGAATTCACTCCTCACAACTCAGCATTACAAGCTTCCAGACTCAGACATATTTGCAATCCATAGTTTCGCTGGTTGGTCGACGTGTTCGAGGGCCTCCTCGACGATTCCCGCATGCTGCTCGAGACACTGGTCGAAAAGTTGCTCGGAATGAAGCTACCCGACTACGAGCGGCCCATCACGCTGCCGCAGGGCAACTACTGGAAGTTCTGCAAGACGTGCATGTGGCGGGACCCCGTGCTCACCCAAATTGCCTATCCTGTGCAAAAGTATCGTACAACTCGTAGTAATTGCAATCATTATCATGCATTACAAATTTTTTTCCGAAGGTAAA